ATTCCTGTATAAAAATTTAAGATATATACAAATCACAAGAAAAAAACTTAACCATTGATAATCACCCAAAGAAAACATTGATCAACTTTTTAGAATATTCAAAGTATATTTTGTTATATTATCTTTTCATTAAGCTTTTTATTTTGAGAGACTTAATAGATTCATATGTAATTCTAGGAAACAATACAGACAGATCCTGGGTACTCTTTATCCAATTTACTCCAATGGTAACATCTTGCAAAACTATAGAAAAATATCAGAGGCAAGATATTAACATTAATACAGTCAAAATATAAAACATGTCTTTCACTACAAGAATCCTACAGATTGCCCTTTTATGAAGATTGAATCTGAGAATTCCCAAGTTCCATATTGAATAGCAAAACTGTAATAGAGTACCACACTATGACATGAATTTAATTCTATTGTAGATTATATTCATTCCCTTAACATTGAACATTTCTATTATTCCTCAACATCAGCAACATAAATGACTTTTATATTATAAATAACTAATCAGTCCTACCTCCACCTTTACAAAGGAGAGAAGGATCTATGATAAGCATAAAAATACTATGTGATAAAATATAAAAATAGCTAATATTTATTCAACACTTTCCATGTGCTAGACAGTGTTATTTATTTAAAGAGCATTACATCTTTTGTTTCTCACAATCCATAATAGCTGGGGAAGAGACAATGGGAAGGAGGGTAGCAAATTCACCTCTTGGCGTTACAACAGGATTGCATGTATACCAAGAAGGTATAAACTTATCTAAGAAGAAACTGAGGCTATAGGGCATTGGTTAATGATGTAGTAGAAATACCAGGGAACACAGTGGAAAGTATGGGCAGTGGGAGAGGTTTGGGTTAAGGACAAATAAGTATAAAGCATTATGGGAATAAAGGGGAGGTAGGGAGAATTGATCAGAGTACTTACTTACACTGATTGATGAAAACAGGCATGAGAATCAGGGTGGCTTTAATTTCTGTTGCCTTTTTGAGAAAGGTCAAAGGACCTAGACTGCCCAGTCTAGAGCAAAGTCAGGTTTAATGGTCATAGTCTAGGAGTTCCTGGACAGAACTAGCATCAAATACTGGCTCCACCACTCACTAGATGTGTGTGGTTGGGCTACTTACAGCACCTCCCAAAGCCTCAGCGCCCAGGTTTATAACATGAGTAGAATAATAGCAGTTAGTTGAGGAAACTTGTGCAGTCAATCTCTGTAGCACTATTGAAGACTTGGAGGATTCTCATGCCTTCAGCAAATTGTGTGATCCCTCAGAGTCTCTATTTCTTGATTTTAAAGGTGGAATAGCAGTGCCTTATTGGGGGGGGGGGTGTTGCAACAATTCATTGAGATATTGTTTATGAAGGTGATTGGAAAAAAAAGAGGTAATGCTAATATTCTTTAATGACATTGAGCCACGATTGTGTTCTGTAACTGTGTCTAAATGCACCATAAAAGGGTCCTTAAAGAAGACAGCCCCACTCTATTCTACTTTTTTCCTCTATCAGTCTGGGTTAATCTTGCACGCCAATTTAGCTTCCTTAATCCACCTGGTCCTATTAAGAGATCATTCCTGTTAGCGTCCTCACCCCAGTTTGTGGGAGAGAAATCTTGTCCAGATTTTTCCTGATGGCCACAAAAGCCAAACTCTTATTCTCTTTGATATGTGCTGATCACCAGGGCGTGGCACAGAACATGGCCGGTGATCAGCAGCAGCGGCAGTGAGGTTGCTGAGGGAGTGAGGAAAGGACAAGGCAGGGAGGTGGGGAGGTGGGGAATCTGATCGGCCCTGATCACTGGTCAGGCCTAGAGACCCTGCCTGTGCACAAATCTCATACACTGGGCCTCTAGTTTGTATAAAATATATTATATTATCTGATATAATAATTCATATCCAGTCATTGCTCCAATTTTATTCACCAGAGATTCTGGATGCCATAGACTGATCTTGCAAGAGTTTTGGGCTTTGGAGCTCATCTTTGAAAAATCTATCCCTGGTGTACTTTTTTCTTCTCTGGGGTCTTAGGGGGGAAAAAGTAATGAATTAGGCAGTGTATTAAGTTGAATACTGCCTCCCAAAAAAGATGTGTCCAAGTCTGAACCTCCAGCACCTATGAGTGTAAACTTATTTTAAAATAGGGTCTTTGCAGATGCAATTAGATTCAGGATCTCAGCATGGGATTATTCTGGATTTATAGTGGGCTCTAAATCTAATAACCACTGTAGGTACAGGAGAAAGGAGAGGGGGATTTGACCACGGAGACCCAGAGGAGAATGCCATAGGAAGATGGAGTCAGAGATTGCAGTGATGCCTCTACAAGCCAAGGAATGCCAAGGATACTCGCCATCCCTAAAAGCTAGGAGAGAGGCCAAGCAACACATTCTGCCTCATGCTTATTACTTATTATTGCTTAAACCAGATGTTTGAGACTGAGAGGAGCTGCTGCCCCCGGACCCAGGACCCACAGCCAGTTTCCGTCCCTGGAGGTGGCAGGGCCCAGGCCTGCTCTGCTGGCCCACGGGCTCCCAGTTGACCCACTGAAGCTGATTTTTTTTTTCTTGTTCACTTCAGGCTCAGTTTCTTCTTAGATAAGTTTATACCTTCTTGGTATAAATGCAATCCTGTTGTAACGCCAAGAGGTGAATTTGCTACCCTCCTTCCCATTGTCTCTTCCCCAGCTGTTATGGATTGTGAGAAACAAAAGATGTAATTAATTGTGAGAAACAGCAGAGCCTTTTATATCCTCCAGGTCTGGTTCGTCCGTTAGTGTGGAAAAGCCCCGCGCCTCCCTCCCCTCACCCTCCCCCTCCCCCTTATAGCCTTAAACTTACCGAAAACTCCTCCCTTTGTTTCCTCTCTGTTTCCCTTTTATTTTCCCCCCACCTTCCGTGCGTCTTTTATTTTTAAACAGACACAGTCCGCCCAGTGCCTCAGCCAGCACTTTTGACAACCTGGTCCAGCGAATCAAGACGACTTCTGGGTCCCGCCCAGAAGAGGGCAGGGCGCTGCGTGCGCGCCTAGCGCGCTGGGCAGGCTCTGGGCGCGAAGCCGGGAGAAGGCTGAAGGACCCGAGGCCCGAACGGCGCCCGATGCGGCTTGGTACCTGGAAAC